CCCTCCAGAGGCATCCAGGGTCCAGAACACATCCAAGCGCCTTCAAACGCTGTTCCATACGGTCGGGCTGTAGAGAAAAGGAGCGATCAACTCTTCACCTCCACCTTCCATGCCTTCCGACCCCCGCTGAAGGTGTGGAAGAATCCATCGAGAGTCCAGGAAACCTACGTAGAACATATCGACAATAGGGCGGAAGGTTAAGGCAAAAGGTCCTGTAGAATGAAGGGGTCATACGGTCGGGCTGGTGAAGTAAGGAAGCGTAAATTCGCCAGCCCAACGGGCCAGAGGCGTGCTAAGATCTCCGGTAACTGGTTGACACAATTTCTAGGTCGCACGCGCGGGGCGGCCCCTGGGGGCCCCTGGACGAAAAGTACTCCGACCAGGTCCCGGTCAGGTCCCCCCATAGCACTCCAGCGGAGGGCCATTTTTTGCCACCCCTCACGAGGATCGTGGCCTCAAAGGGAGGAGCCGCAATCAACTACCTCCGCCTCCCGCCACAAGAGCTCCCCAAGAGCCCCCAAAGAGGCCCCAGAGGCACCCAAGACAAAGGCCTCCAAGAGGCCCTCGAGAGGCCACCAAAGGCCCAAAAGAGGCCCCCAGGAAGCTTCGAAGAAGCCCCACAGACGCCACAAGACGCTCCGAGGAACTAGAACACCTGTTCCAAGAGGCCTCCAGAGGGCCCCAACAGGCTCCCAGAGGTCCCGAAGAAAGTAACTCCCAGACGCTTCTTGAAGCTTGAAACCTGCATCCCAGAGGTCCTACAGAGGCCAACTTGGCGGGATACGCCGAAGGCAACTGCATATTTCAGCTACGTCCCGATCACCCAACCGCAAACGATGGCATACTACGGGCCGGCGGAATGAGCGAAGCAATTATATAAAGAGCGAAATAGTTACTGGGCCCCAGAAGCGCCTGCGTGTACATACGAGGACAGCTAGAATAATGACCTTAGGAGCAGGGAGCTCCTTCCGATCCCAAAGCGGCCCATATTCCGGCGTCTTGACTGCATCGACGACGACGACGACGACGACCACAGCGACGACTAGCTGTCGACGACGCCCGCACCTGGGCGTCGACCTCCTCCAGCTCCACCGGCTCAAGCTCGTCGCAGCACCCCACCGCGGCGCCCATGGAGGCCCCGGGGGCATTTTGCCCCGGTCGGTGGGCTCGAGCCGCCGCTGCGGGTCGCCGCCGTAGTTTTCCTACCGCTCCTCCTCCTCCTCCTCCTCCTCCTCCTCCTCCTCCTCGTCCTCCTCGTCCTCCTCATCCCCACTCTCGCACTCCCTTCCTCCCTCCCTCTTCGACCTCCTCTTCCTGCATCCACCTCTCCCTCCTTCCTCCTCCTGCCTCCTTCCTGTTCCTCTCCCTCTATCCTCCGACCCTCCTCCCTCCTTCCGTTCTGTTAGACTCGTCAAGCCACACATCGACAGGCCTACATGCCCAGATAAAATATGTCACACGTTCAAACTAGCACGTTTCTCTTAGCCAGCTCTGCTGGACGCAACGCGGGCACCGTCCAATGCGATGGTCTCTGCGGTGAACGACAACAAAGGGCAGTCAAACCGTCGCGACGCTATAAAACAATTATGCGTGAAACCGTCGCGGCGAACTAGACCTAAACCTCTCATATCCATGCCGCGGCGGAGCACGAACCCGCCCGGGTGCCACCATCTCAAAGACAAGCGATATTCGCATCGAAAACTGTGGAATCTGGTATCGCGGGCGGACCCTCCGTCATCCAGATGCTCTGGGTGTCCATGGTGTGGTCCACCAGAATATGCGATGTGGTTGTTGTGCACCCGGCGCCGCCATAACACTGGATCAGACACGGCTGCGTGCGGGATCCGCCCTCCATCCATGAGATCAAACATGCGCGTCGTGATCCGATTGAGGAACGAGTCCAGGGGCGGCAAGAGGACAATGCCCACATGCACCTTCAGCGAGAGGTTTACCATCGACGACCAAACCATGCAAACAAACAATGTATCGAAAACTATGCGCATGTCCTCCGTTTGCTCGGTGTTTTTTCCGCGGGCGCATATTTATGTCATGATGAAATACCTTGCGCCGATAGCTTGGGAATCGGCCGGTTTCCGGAACTGCTGCAGGCATAGCCGGAAGGTCCCACGTCGCGCCGACTGTCGCGGAGAACTCAAGGACAAACTTCTGCCACCCTGCGAGATCATGGCGCGAATCGCGTCAAGCCCTCCAACCTGGCCCGAACACCTCGCAGAGTATACCTTCCCCTTCCCACGGGTACCACGTGCCAACGTGGACGAGTCCAACAGCGCGTCTCTGCTTCTGGATCGACGTGTCTTACAACCCCTTCGGGGGAGATCGATGTAGATGAAGCCTCCGGGGAAAAAGGAGTCGTCTCCCTCCCAGCATGGATTAGCACAACTTTCAATGCTTTGACGTGGACGGGTACGTGGCCCATCTTTTTAACCCACCATTGGATCACGTGAGAGGTGCGGGCGTTGTAATTCATTGTGCTCTCCTCTGGCCTGTGCCTGAGCTTGAAGGCCTTCATCAACAACCGATTCTCCCAACGGCGAAGGCTGATCAACATGTGTCTTGACAAATGCCACGCGCAACGCCGCGCGCAGCAAACCACGCTAAATTGATGGTGCTCGCGCTGCACAACATGCTGAAAGTTTGTGCTGAACCCGATAAGTTCTTCCAGCGCTTCCAGATACAGGCCTCGCCCTTGCTGAAACGGCGCTCCACGCCAGCCTCCGCGACGCCACGATATTCGAATAGTGTGCCTAGAATTGACGCGACTAACTCAAGACATCGCCGTGCCAATGGAAGCTATGGGGGCACGAATTGCAGAGCCGACGTCTTCATTCAGGAAGCGGCCCGGCATGCGCAAAGGAAGATGGCTTCCACTGGAAGCCAACGTTCTGGATCATTTCGAGAAAATAATATCTTGTCAGCACAAGCTGAATGAGCAAGCGAATGATAGTTGCCATCGCGGCCAGATAGATTTATACCCAATCGCCGTCCCTCCCAACCATTCACCAAAAGCTTCGTGATGAGCTCGAATGCGCACTTGAACTCGTCCCGCGTCTCCGCGCCGCCTCGTCTGCCGCCGCGTCCAAGAAAAAACGAACCGCTGACTCCAACTCCCAACAAATCGGTCGAACAATCGATGTCGGAAACCTCTTGCATCATAGCCTTCGCAAGTGCCGCGCACGGGCCGCGGCCTAGGAGAGCAGTGGACATGCAATCGTGGAGCGCACAATCAGATGCTGTCGCAACGTCGCCAAGGCCGAGTGCCAGGGGGCGCCACCCAACGGCATGCAAAGAACAATGCCTGTCGGACAATGACCCCATGTCGTCGCAAGCGCAACCGGCCTCGGGGCCCAGCGCATCGAATGCTGAAGGCGCATGAACTTCGCACCTGCCTTGGCAGACGAGACGCCGCGCATGAGATTCAAGCGCGCGTCCAACTTTCGGAAAGCCAGCGTCGGGCCCGAGAGAGACCACGCTGCGCTATGTCGGTGCGCCACTGAACTCAACGTTCTCCCACGACGCTGGGACTGCGAGCCCCCCCCCCCCCCCCGGCGCCTCGAGCAAAAATGGCGCCGCGCATCGCGCGCCGACATATAAGGTGCATGCTGATAAATTTCATCCAGCTGGAATGCCATCAGATCCGCGCGCGAGATTCGTTCGCTGACCAGCCCGCGCTCTGAGCGCAGAAAACGAATGCCTATCAGAAGTCTAGCGACGTCCAGACTCTCATCGTTTGCGAGCGTCTCCAACTACCTCAGCCACTGGCGCTGCGCTTCGCCCGGGCCACGGTCGCCCTCAAACCTGCGCCCGCCAAATGTCCGCGCCCCTCTCAACCGCAGCTGCCTGCGAAGTCGCTACCCTCCACGTTCGACGTCTGGGGGAAGATCGGACTTGAGATTGTTCGCAGACCGCCTTCAACCGCGCGCCGTGCCGTTCTCGGAGGACGTTCCGCTTAGCCCGCAGGGGGTCAACGATTGCCGCCCGTCTGCGCCCGGAGTCCGACGCGGGCGCAGCCTTTCTAGCCCGCTTCGCAAGTTGGTTCCTAGTAGGCATGTCACGATCGTCTCGTATCCGCGCGGTCCCGAAGTCTATCTGAAGCGCGCTGTTGTTTTATGCATGCCTGCAAGTGTTGGGAATTAGACTGGGTAAGCTTCGCGCAGAAACGCTGGAACCGATCAGCCCTCAGTAGACGAAGGCCCCCATCCCCTGAGCGACCGAGGACGACGGGCAGGGGCAGGGCAAGCACATGGCAGCAACCATTCTGCGACAGCTGCTCGATGATCCGATTTGGCGAACAAGCGATGTTCGAGGCCCCGCGGCTTTGCGGCCCGGGTAACCTCCTCCGGAAGAGCGGCGAAGTAAATGTGCGATCGCGTGGGATGTTTCTTCTTCGCCCTGCGCGCCCGCGCTGTAAACTCCGCGTTTGCCGCGTTGGCCTGGCGGGGAAACGCGTTCCGCGCTCGTTGGCCCAAAACCTCGGGCCGGGGCGCGACCGCCCTGATCTTGGCGAGAGCGCGGCCCCCATCCGGCTTGACAACTGACTTTCTAGAGAACCCCCCAGGCCACCTGGAAGAGATGCGCCAGCATCAACTCCAAGAAAAACTTCGAAACTAGCATCTGGATGATTCATTTTGGAAGCCTCCGCGCAACCCACGGCGTCGAAGCGCACCTCCTCCGCCCGGCCCCCCTCCTCTGCGCATCTCCCAAGTACGATCCCGCACCAATGAAGACCAAAGCACGCACGCGCGACATGCATCCAACGTCTTGGCACAAAAAGACCGCAATCACAAACATCCCTGGTCAAAACGGTCTGGCCAGATCACGCGTGGCCATTCAAGCTGCCCAGAGCTGCAAATTCTTACACATTCACCAAACCTGCCCCGAAGACGCATGCAAATGCCCCCCGCGACGCGCGGGCTCTTCCGCCAAGAATTCCACAGACGTGCGCTGAATGCATGTATCCTTGGACACACTGCAGGACGTTC